CCCCCCCCCCCCCCCCCGCCCCCCCGTTGGGATACTGTAACTTGTATTACTTCAGCTCAGAAATTTAAGTGATCAGGTAAAGATACGCGTGATATGCAGGATAGGTGGTTTGCTGTCACTGCATCACCACTGAAGTGCTGGACAACCAAATCTTTGAGTCTCTGCAACTTGCAGTGTTGTTGAGCTGTAGACATTTGTGGTGCATCTTGGATGAGGAGGATTATCTGGATACTTTGTCCTAGGTGGCAGTCACACGATTTAGGCTAATTAAAAATTTAGAGTGGATCGATGGACTGGGCCAAGAGGCTGTGGCTTTGACTTGAAGGATATAGGGATCCAGCACAATGATCAATAAACCTCATTCCTTGCCTATGAACAGTAAGGACATGATGTCTGAGTTGGAGGAGCAAACTGATCATGGTACAGGTTGTCACATTTGATTGGGTGGACTTGGAAGGAATGCGATAGTGATATGGGACAGTTTCATCAGTGGGATAGATCTAGTTGCAGAGAATATAAAAGTTCTGAAGGTTATGTTGTCTGATGCTATCAGTGCCAGGGTTAAAGACCCCTCAGTACATCTGGGGGAAAATTTGGAGTGGGGGGTGAGGAATCCAGTTGTTCTGGAACACGAAGGAACCATGAAATGGGTAGAATTAGGAAAGTTCTGAGAGAGCTTGAGGATTTAGGGTTGAAATTAAAACATATAACATAGTAATCTTTTGAATTGTTGCCTGTGCCATGGGCCAAATGACATGGATCAAGTGGGTTACAAAATGAAACATGTAATTTGAATGTGTGGGAGGGAGGGGTTTTGATTTGTGGGCTGCCACCAGTGCTAGGAAAAGAACTATTCCACGCTGATTGACTCCACTTAAACTGGGCTGGAATCAATATCCTGACAGTGTATGTTTACTGTGGTAGAGGTTTTAACAAGGAAGTGTGGGGCAGAGGGTTCAATTCAAGAGACTTAGTAATTGAAGAGAAAACAGCAGTATTGCGAATTGAATAAAAACAAGCAGAAAAGGACAAGAAGGGGCAGTTTAAGGGTGAATGCATGAACAAAAAGAGCCTTGTGAATAATAGGTTAAACAATTTTAGGGCTCTTTGTCTAAATGCATGAAGAATTTACAATAAGATAGACAAACTAGTGGCATAAATTGTATTAAATAGTTTTAATTTAATTGCTATTGCAGTGAAATGATTACAAGATGAATGAGGTTGGGAAATATTCCTACATACAGCGCGTTCTGAAAAGACAAATTGGAAAATGAGGGGTAATGCTGGTAGTAATGAATGACATAGGGATTGGTAAGGATTAGGATTAACAAGAGCATGACAAGATTGGTACAGTAGTTTATAGACCTGCTTGCTAACTGTGTACTTAACCAGGACAGAGTATTAAATGAGAAATAGCTGATACTTGTATAGAAGACAAATGCAACAATTGTGGGTTGTCTTTTCTTAATTTGACTTGCCAGTTTATATTAACAAAGGTAGTCTGCAGGTTGTGTTTGTTTTTACTTTTTTCTTACACAAATTTCTGAAACAATATGTCATGGAATCAACTATGTGTAAAGTTATTTTACATCTAGTATTGTGCAAAGAACCAGCGTTAATGAGTAATCTTACTGGTAAAAGATCTATGGTAGGATAGAAATAATGACAATGCTGAATCCTGTGGGCTGCGTTTCACCAAAAAAATTAGTTGGGGGCTGCCGACACACGTCAACTGCTGTGCAGCAATTAAATGGCTGCTTGGTTGTTAATTGAGTTGTGCCTTTTGCCCCTCAAACAAGATGTCCAGCCTCTTTGCTGCCAGGAATATAAGAACAGTTTATTGAAGCTTTGAGCATATAAAAGAAGAGTATCTAAAGCAGATAATGGTCCAATAAGCAGGATTAGGCAAAATTATAATGAAATGAGGAAGTGACAGAGACATTGAAAGAATATTTTGTCTATCTTCACAGTAATATACACAAATTACATGTCCGTGGACTTTCACTATCTGGCAACCTAAAAAGAATGAGGAACTTGAGTTAATTGGTAGCAAGTTCTAAAATGTCTTGGAGAAACTCAAGATCCTGAGGATTTCCAGATTTGCTTGCCTACATCTTAAGATTCCACAAGTAGTACCTGCAAACATACAGGATGCATTTGTTATACTTTTCCGAAATTCCTTGGTTTCTAGAGCAGTCCCAGCAACTTGCAAATAAGCAAATATAACTCCACAAATCAAAAAGCAGGGAGGGAGAATATACGGAGTTACAGGCAAATTAGCTTGATATTAGTTAACATAAAATGTTGGAATCTCTTCAAGAAATCTTAACAATGTAGTTAGAAAATCATATTTGCCAAACAGGAAAGCACATTTGACAACTTTTAGTTTTGAGTATGAGATTACAGTAGTCAAGGGAACCAGTCGATATAGCATATTTGGATTTCCACAACACACTCAAGGCACAACATAAAGTTTGAGACACAAGATGAGGGTGCGTGAAATTTGGGCAAATGTATTAGCATAGGTTGAGGATTGGTTATCAGAGATGAAGCGGAGATTTGAGATGAACAGGGTGTTTTTAAGTTTGCAGGCTGTGACTAATAGATTGTGAGGTGGATGAGTGCTGGAGTCTCAACAATTTCACAATCGAACATAGATTATGATTTAGCAATAATGTATGCAAGTTTGCTGACAACACAAGTAGATGAGAATGTAAGCTTTGAGAAGACCAGAACCTGCAAAGATCTAGGCAGGTTAATTATTTAGACAACATGATGGCAGATGGAGTGCAATGGTGGGAAGCGAGGTTATTCACTTTCATAGTTCAAATAGAAAGGTGAATATTCTTAAAGAGAACAGAAACTTGGAAAAAAATCATGCTTAGACATGGCTGCATTTGTAGAAAGAACACAAAATTGGCAGGTATAGCCAGCAATTAGGATTGAAAGTGACCTTTATTGGAAAGAGATTGAAAACCAACTATAAACTAAGTCCTGATGCAATGGTTACAGGGCTTTGTGTGCAGTTTTATTAAGGGAGGATGTATTTGCATTCAGGGTGGTGCAGTGAACGTTCATTTAATTCCTGAGATGAACAGATCATCCTCTTGTGAGTAAATTCACTGCATGCACTGGAGTTGAGAAGAATAAGGCATTGTCTCATTTAAAAGTACAGAATTCTGAAAAGACTTAACTGGATAGGCATTGAGAGCCTTCCCACAGGTTTGGGAATCTTGTATTCGGGCACAGTCCGAGGATCATGTCTGATCATTTCAGACAACAGTGAGAAATTTCTTCACTCAGTTGTAAATTTTGAAATGCTCTGTCCTTAAGGGGTGTAGATGCTCTATCATTGAATGTATTTCCGATTGCGAAGGTAAGATTTTTATTCTTGTATCAAGAGGTATGAGGCGAGACAGGAAAGTGAAGTTAAGGTCAATGATCAACCCTGATCTTACTAAATGGTAGAGGTAGCTTGAGGGATCATGAGGTCTATTCCTCTTCCTTAAATTCTGATTCCTATGGAAGAATTTCAAAATGAGAATGGTATTTCAAAATTGTGACATAACGATTGCTGGAGCCACCCTAGGTCAATGATTCTGGATGTATTAGAATGGTGTGAGTTGGAATATGAAGAGCAAACATGAGTCTTTTTTTTATTAATGGAATAAATTTTGGCTTGTAAACGGCCTCTGTCGCTAAATTGCACCTCGTTAAATTCTAAAGACATCACATCCATAGGTTTTGTCATTCATGTTACTTATTGCTTCCTAATAATCATGTTGCCTTTGTCTGATTATGATTTTTTCAATGTTCTCCTGTATAATTTCTTTAATGAGTGCTAGCATTTTCCCTGTGACAAATGTTAAGTTAACTGGTTGTCGATCACTGCTTTCTGTTTCCCTATTTTCTTGAATAGAGCTGTGACATTCGCTGTTTTCTAATATAGTTTAAAATTTTCAGGAATTTAGGGCATTTTGGAGTTCACAATTCATTGTATCTAATATCTTTTGCCTCAAGTTTGGCAGAGTCTGCAGAAGCCCCACAGGACTATACAGCCACTTATGATCTCAGCCTGAGTGTAGAAGAAACTCATTCTCATCTGCAAAGGGCCATCAATAACGATGATCTAATATCTCTGCAGCCATTTTTTAAAGACTCCTATAGGACAAAGACTGTTAAATCCAGAGGACTTGTCAACCATTACCTGTAATAATTTCCCAGTTTTTTTTTTAAACATACTGATTGATTGATTGCTGTTTGTAGTTATGGCTTCCCTTTTAGAGCTCCCTCCCTCCCTCCCTCCCATCCTGATTTGGTTGAGATTTTTAAATTTCAAATTCTGTTGATTGCCAGTTCATTGATTTCTCTCCTAATACTTGGTAGTTTTTAAATCATTGCTCTAATATGTTGTAGAGGTATGTTGAGGCATGGTTACAGAGGGATTTGTATTTGTTTCAAATTCAACATTAAATCAGTTTTCCACCGCGTAAACAGTGATGTCAACATATCTGTAAACATAATACGGGTTATGAATGTGACAGCACCACACAAGATCGAGTAAGAAGAGTCTTCTTGATAACACGTAGATTCTGCAAGTATTGTTTCCCCCAAAGACATTTGGTAACACTTTTGTATTGTCTTGAAACTGAAGTGGTTATACTGTAATTTGTGGGCCAAGACCTGTGCCAAAGTTATGATAAATCAGAATGCCTAATGAAAATCTGGTGGGGTTTCCAGCTGTTTTACAGTAGTAACAAGTGCATCAGTGTCTGGACTAACAATATTTAACATGGCTTTCTCTCTTGTTTTTCCCTTTTGATTTAAAAGGCTGAAGGGTACGTGATCGGTAGTTGTATTAAACACATTCCAATTGCTGGTCGTGATATCACATACTTCATCCAGCAACTTTTGAGAGATCGAGAGGTGGGAATACCTCCAGAGCAGTCCTTGGAAACAGCAAAGGCTGTGAAGGTACAGTAACATGTATTTATACAAGTTCCTTTTACATAGAGAAGGCTTATGGGGTGTTTCCTGAGCATTATTTATCAAAGTTTTGCACCATGTCATGAAGAATTAGCAGAAATGATCAAAAGCTAGACCCACGAGGTAGGATTTATGCTGTTCTTTAAAAGGAAAGAGTGAGAGGGGCAGAGCAATCTAAAGTTCCTGTTGGGTGGGAGACTGACCAGAGAAGCATTGGAGTAGTTCAATCTCCAGTGCAAATTGCCTGAGTCCAAAAATCTGAAAAGTAGATTTGAATTTGCTGGCTGTAAGACACCAAATTGGCCGCAGATCAGATACTTGTAATTTAGAATGACGTTTTGCTCAATTCACAGCTCTCGCTTCTTAGTCAGTGAAGTAGTGGCTGAACTCTAACTCAGCATTAGTCGGCATCTCTGTCCAGTGCTGAGTGTATTATGATCAGATGGTGCTTTGTTTTAAAAGAGACTTAAGTCCTATGTGTCTGGTCAGTTAGGTGCAGAAAAAACAGCCTAGGAATTTTGTTTGGAAAATAACACCATTCTTCAGGTGGTGTTATTTCTTTTTGGGACGTGGTGCACGATTAACCAGTGTAAAACGGTGACTTCCTATTTGGTTTGAAGCACTTTGTACAAGTAAGAACAACTATATAATTGGAAACCAGTTCTTCAACTGTTTTGTATTCTTTTAATGTGGATTCTAGGAATCCATTTCCCATGCATATGCAATTAAAATTCACTGAATTGGCTAATGTATTGCCAGCCTGAGAATTGATTTAACATTGTAAAATACTGGGAGCTGGTCCCAAGTTGTATTTTAGGAACTCTAATTAAAAGAGGATTAAAAAGCAGCCTTTAATAGTTTATCACCTAATTCAACACTGACCATGACGAAATAGAAACAAAGCACTGAAAATACTTGGGTACCATCTGTGGAGCAAGAAAGAGCTAATGTTTCAGGTTTGTGACTTTGCATCAGAAATACTGACTATCACCTTGACTATGGTTACCTTACCGATTCAGGTCTTGCTCAAGAGTTTGAAACCGAAATCAAAGGTAGGAATATGGAAAGACATGAGTAATGGAAACTGACAAACAGAAGAGGTCCCTTAAATAGAAGCATCTCTTGCCATTTGTGGAACAGGATTCCAAATCTCTACTGCCAGTGAATACAGCTTTCTGTTTATCCCATGTGAATCCTTTTAAAAACCTTGACAAAATCGTCTTTTGACATCGTAAGTTCCAGAGATTCAATCATAGTCTGAATTATTATTCCCTGTAATTTTGTGATTTAATTCTGAAAGCAATGTATTATACTGGAGATCTCCACGCCTTCCCCCCCCCCAAAAAAAAACAAGTGTGGAGACTACAGTTCCATTTTTGATATTTTTCTTAATTTTTTTTTCACATTTCCCACTCCCTCCCTTATTCCTCCTTTGAATGTGGATGTCGCTGGCAAGGTCAGCATTTCTTGCCCATCCTATTGCCTTTGGCAGAGTGGCTTACAAAACCATTTCCTAGGGCAGTTAAAAACCAAATACTTTGCTGTAGGTCTGGAGTCGTTTGTATGCCAGACTGGGTAAGGGTGGCCGACTTGCTTCACAAAAGTGATCTATGTACTTGGAACTCCAAGTGAGATTTGCAGCTTAATGCCATTTTAGAATGCATGCTGGCTTATTCTTTTTAGGCCCAAAATGGATAACATCCAAGTTTGCTTTTGTTGAAATCTATTTGCAATAATGTTGTGCATTCACTTAATCCACCAATACCTTCCTAATTTTATGCTTCAAAGTCATTGGCTTTCTATCCAGTCATCTAAATTATTAACAAATATGGTAAACAGTTGTGACTTCAAACTCAATTGCTCAGGATGTCACCAGTCATGTTAGAGTCACTACTTGTTGTCCCCCGTCACTCAGCCAATTTCCTTACCTCGTTAATAATTTGCCATTGGTTCTGTAGGCTTCAGCTCGGCATCTCCAGGGGCTTCCATCAGATTTCTTCGGGAGGTCCCTAGAAATAACATCCCTCAAAATTCCCTTGTCCTACATATTCCAAAAGTTAAATCAAGTTTATCAAACATGACCTGTCCCTTACAAATCAAATGATACTCCTATATTTGCAGGTGGACTGCAGCGGTTCAAGAAGGCTGCTCACCACCACCTTCACGAGGGCAGTTAGGGATGGGTAAGAAATGCTGGCCAGCCTGTGACGCGTACATCCCACAAATGAATAGGAAAACGAAATACCAGATACAAGGCACCAGTACATTTCATTTGCTGCAGTAAAGTTCAGTGACTACATTGAACTACACTGTAACAAATCAAAAGTGGTGGCAAAACTCAACAGGCCAGTAGTGTCCGTGGAAAGAGAAACATAGCTAATGTGAGAGTTATACAGAACTCTTTCCTTCATTGATTTTGGCTCAAAACCCTAGAAATCTCTCCATAGTAGCATTCTGGATGTCCCTACACTACATAAACTTCAGTTCAAGAAAGCAGCTCACTACTTTGAGGGCACCAGGGATGGACAATAAAGTGAAGCTGACATCCCGTGAATGAAGAAAACAAACTTCCACGATGTCAACAATTAATGGAAAACTTATTTGAAGTTAATTAATAAATCTGGAATTGAAAGCTAGCCTTAGTAATGGTGACCAAATCAACTGACATTGATTTTCATAACTCATTGGGTCATTAATGTCTCATGGGGAAGGAGATCTATTGATCTTCCGTGGTGACTCGATTGCAATGTTTGACTGTTAACTGCCCTCAAATGGCCAAGCTACTTTCTCAGTTCGAGAAATTAGGACTGGGCAACAAATGCTGGCTTTGCATGTAATGCTGCTAACCAATGAAAAAATAAATGAACATGTCATTATTTCAGCAAGCAGTAGCAATATACTGTGGTTCCATATTTAAAATGTCTGGCACTTGACAGTGTTACAAGAAGATTACCCTCGATTTTAATTGCAGTCACAGTTTCAGCCCATTTAAATTTTATTTTATTGAATGAAGTGCACCTTTTCAAATGCAAGTTGTAAGAGCTGTGAAGTGTTTGATTTTGTGGTACTGGGATGTCTGTGATTTTAGTGCATGATTAAAGAATGCTTATTTTGTCAAACCAGAGAGGTACAAACAAAAACAAACTATTGCGCAGCTGCCAGTTTAATACAGTTTACACACTAATGTTATAGGTTTCAGTGTACTATAGTTGGGATTTAGTTATATCTCTCCTCTATTGACAAACCAGGATAACTTCATCTCAATATTAAGTTGCTTTTTGAATGGTTATGCCGAAGCAAACGGAATTCGTCTGTCTTCGTTCTTTAATGGAAGAAATTTCACCTTCACTAAATAGGTTTATCGTAAGCCATTAAAATGGGAATTTTGGAGGAGTCAGTTGATGAACTGAGGAAAATTACTTTTTGATAAAAGTTGCAAGATTTTATTCAGACGTGTTTTCTTTTATATAGAAGTGAACATTTTCAACAATGATGATTAAATCCCTTTTTGCTTTCCCTTGTTCTCAGTTTTCACCCCTCCCTTTCTCTTGAGGTTAGTTACTTAGTGTGGACTGGGCATCTAAGAAATCTTGCAGTCATCTTGTATTTCAGTCAAGTTCATTATTCTTTGTCTGAATCTGTGGTGAGTTGTTTTTGCAAGTTGTTGGGCCATGAAAGGTCAATACCAAAGTTGCAGCTTTCTTCGCCCAACACTACACATGCAATTTTACAGAAGAGTGGAGTCTCGCAAACATTTTCCTGTCCCTTGCTGTAGAGCAGGACTGACCTCCACAATCCCACATTCACGCTGATTATAACCAATCAACTCAGACTGGACAATGAAACTAAACTGGGCTATTTTGTGGGAAACCTGTATGACTTAAAATACATTGAACACCAAGGTCTGTGTTTCTTTAATGAATGAACAATCTCAGAATTACTTTTAACGTTAAAAATCTTTGGACTGGACTGTTGAGCTTGGCTATGTAAACAAAGTCCTGTTGGCATTTCAATCAAATTTTGTACTGGAATATTTATGGGAGGGATTCATGTTTTCAACAAAAATTGTTTTAATTATTTCAGTGTTTACTTTGACTTTGAAGATAATAATAGCTTGTAGTGACTTTGTAACGATTAACTAAGTTTTTTTTGTCTGTTGTTTTGTTGAATTAAAGGAACGTTTTAGTTATGTCTGCCCAGACTTGGTAAAAGAATTCAACAAATATGACACAGATGGCACAAAATGGATTAAACAGTATACTGGAATCAATGCCATCTCCAAGAAAGAATTCACTATTGATGTAGGCTATGAACGATTTTTGGGCCCTGAAATTTTCTTTCATCCAGAGGTAAATTTTTATTTGTTGTACTTGAGTTTTCATAGCATGTTGGAATCACTGTATGAGGTTATATTATCCAGTTTGATCACTTATAACTAATGTAATGCTTTTCCTTATCCAGTTTGCAAACCCTGATTTTACACAGCCCATCTCTGAAGTAGTAGATGAAGTCATTCAGAACTGCCCCATTGATGTTAGACGTCCACTGTATAAGGTTAGTGGTCTAAGTATGTGGCATTATTGCTTTGTACACTTGAAAAACAATTGATTTTAAAAGTACTTAAGGCACTGTAACATTTAAATTCAAACCTTCCTTTTTATGCCTCAGAATTCTAGCAAGACAATACCAGTTAAACACAAAAAGGATGTTTCCCAATTACTGGAAATGCAGAACAAGAGATTAAATTCTAGAGTCAATGAGTAGGCCATTTAGGATTGAGATTTCTTTAACCAGAGAGTGGTAAGCCTCTGGAATTCTTTGCTGCAGAAAGCAGTTGAGGCCAAAACATTGAATGTTTTGAAAGAGGAAATGGGTATAGTTCTTGGAGCTAAAGGGATCAAAGGGTGTGGTGAGAAAGCAAGAGCAGTGTACTGAGTTAGATGACCAGTCATGATAATATTGAATGATGGGTGGGCTTGAAGGTCTGAATGAGTTATTCATGCTCCTTTTTTTGGGTTTCTATTAAAGCACGTCTGCTTTCTGTCATTAATTTTACTTAGTTGTGGAATTGTTGAAGGGAAATTAATCTCTAGTAATTCATGATGCACTGAAAAAAGACATTTTTTCCCTGATACTTGATTTGTTATCAGTGATATGAGACTTGTCACACCAGCCCCTTTTGTGTCCTTTCATTTTTACATTCTTGTTTTGTTGCTGTTTTCCTGTCAGTTGATTAATTTTCTGAAATTCTTAGTTAATCTACACAAGGCATTATTCATATAATTTCTTTGCTTTTGGCCATTGCATTGCAATAAACCATAGCTAAATATGGCAACACTGATCTATAGAGAAATTGTGATACTAGGAATTAATGTTTCCAGTATGAAAATTTGGGTTGAGTGCCTAAGAAAGAAGGCTGACTGGAGTTTAGAAGATGCGTATTTTCTTCCACACAGTATTTTTGCTGCATTGTCCTCCGTTATTACTGATTGTGAATGTTGCAGAGAGGTTTTGTACAAAGCCACAATTTTTATAATAAATGTTAACCTTTATAAGCGCATGGTCTGTCCTATTTTGGTAGTCCAACTTCTTTTTTCCAAAGTTTTGCCTTTCCTCTAGCAGTCTTACTACTTTTGTGTTGGGTTTAGCCCTTTAAATAATCTTTCTTCTTGGAACTCAATCGGCCGTCGTATTTTGGTTTGACTAAGTGTCGCATTTTTTTTTTCAAGTTTCGCAATTTCATTGATCTTGAACGCTCCAGAGATTGTTAGGATATTTTTTAAAAAAAAGTATTCTCAATTCTTTCTATTCCTCAGCTCTTTGAGTTTTTCATCTTTGATAATCTGTCTTAAGAGTACAAAAAAGTCAAGCTTGAACTGTCCTTTCCATGCTTGCGTGAACGCACACGTGCATCGGTTTTCTTCAAAGTGAATAAGTACTATCTCTTGCAATCTCACAACACCTTATGAATTTTGTGCATTCTCTGGATAAAGACAGAAGTTATGCAAATTTGGTGCCTTTAAGGTTGAAAATTAATTTTGTTTCGTTTCCAGAATGTTGTTCTTTCTGGGGGTTCCACCATGTTTAGAGATTTTGGACGACGTTTACAAAGAGACTTGAAGCGGACAGTAGATGCCAGACTTAAACTCAGCGAAGAATTGAGTGGTGGAAAACTCAAGGTTTGTAAATTTTTAGTAAATGAAATAAAAACGGAGATCCAAAATAGAATCTAAAGATAGGTGCGTTTGCTATGTGGCTACTGATATTTCACTCCAATTAAAATCATTTATTTGGAAGCTTATTTCAAGACAAAACTTGTCAATACTTAATTGCTTATCATGCTTCACATTGTCATTGACTAGTAGCTGCAAAGTTCTGCTAATTTGTATCAAAATTACTCGAGTTTATTTTGAAGTATCTCCAGGTGACGTTTTCTTGCCATCTGTAAAATCATAGAATCCATACACTGTAGACAGAGGCAATTTGGTCCATCAAGTCTGCACTAACCCTCCAAACAGACTTAAACCCACCATCCCAATTCCCCCACCCTATCCCCGAACCTTCCTTTTACCATAGCCAATCCACCTAGCTGGCACATCTTTGGACTGTGGGAGGAAACTGGAACACCCCGGACGAAACCCAAGCAGAGTTCAGAAGAAAATGCAAACTCCACACAGTCACTAAAGGCTGGAATCGAACCTGGGTCCTTGCCACTCTGAGGCAGTAGTGCTAACCACTGTGCCACCATGCTGCCTAACAAGGGAATTTTGAATCAGGTGGGGCAAGGGTGGGAAGATCAAGTGTGGAATAATGAAACAAATCATAAAATAGAGTCAAAGCAGGAAAACAAAGTATTACTATGTAAATGAAGGTAAGAGAAAGCCGGAAGTCAGACGTAAAAAGGAAAAAATAAAGAATATACCTGTAGTCGAGACTAAACGTTACCAAGATAACGAAAAAGCTAAAGGTTCAGTATCTGAATGCATGTAGTATTCATAATGAAGTACATGAATTGATGGTGCATTTTGAAGCTAATATAAAAACAACCTGATAGTAGGGAGATGTGGTTGCAGAATAATGAAGATCGGATACTTAAATATATGCCATTTAAGGAACATAGGAAACTAGGTCAAGAGAGCACTCCTGATCAACGATGATATTGGTACAGTAGAATGCCCTTCGTGCAAGCGATCAAGTTAATGAAACAGTTCAGGTGGAGATGAGAAATGAGAAATAATTATGGGGTGCGGATGTCAATTGTAGGTGGCATCTACAGACCTCAAACAGTAACCACCATATCGGAAGATGTATGCAAGAAGAAATGCTGGTGCTTGTGATAAGAGGTTGGCAATAATTGATTTTTAATCTACATGTAAATTGGAGAAGACATTGGTAATGTTGCCTCGATAAGAAGTTCAGTCAATGCTTTTGAATGAGTTTCTTAGAGCAGTATGATGTGGAACTGACTAGAAAGCAGGTCACATAAAATTCTCGATCTTCAGTGACCATGTTTAATTGTCTTAACACCATTCTTCTCTAACATAACAGCTTGCAGCAGGAGACCAAGTAAGTAAAATGAGTGCCTTTGATTAAAAATTGGTAACATTCTGTATCACTTTTCTGCCATGCCGAAGTTTGTTCATAACTTCCAGTTATAGAGTATGATAGGCAGTAATCAGTGTATTGGCTAAGGTGAAAATCTGGCAACCTGATTACTGTAACAGGATTCTATTTAAGTAATGTGTCCAAACACTTGGGACAAATGAGAAACAAATATTGATTAGTGCAACATCTGTGTTTTAAGTTTTTAAAAAAACTGTCCTGACAGTTTCTTGGCACAGCTTAGTTTATTGTTAAAGTTTTAAAGATCCTTCTAGATTAGTAGAATAGTTTGAGATTTCTAATTTTATTGGAAACCAATTCAACTGCTGGAGAATTGTGAATTTTGAAATATAGTTGCATCTTTTTGTAGCCTAAACCAATTGATGTTCAAGTGATTACGCACCACATGCAGAGATATGCCGTTTGGTTTGGAGGGTCAATGTTAGCATCCACTGTGAGTAAACATTTTGAAATTTCAATTTTTGTTTACGTGTAATCTTAGTATGTGAATGCGCTTATCTTCTGTAACATTTCAAGACATTAATTTAACTTCTGGTAAGTACTAGAATTCTTAGCAGAATGGCAGAGCATTTTTGTTAATCCAGGCTTCCACCAGACAAAGCTATTCTTGTCAATTTGTTTTGAAACAAAGTTTGCTTCTTGTAAATCCTTGAATACTACAGCAATCATGTCTGTATGCTGCAATCCCTGGATAACATTCAGATTGTGCAGCTAAGTGGCAAGTTACATCCACACTATTAAAGTGTCGGACATTGATCACGTCCCACAAGAGTGAATCGAGTTGTCTCTCGTTGATGTTACTGTCATTGAATTCCACAATGTCAACATCCTGAAGATTATGATCACCAGAAACTGGACTAACCGTATAACTATTGTGATGAGCTGGTAAGAGATTAGGAATCTTGCAGTGAAGAACTCACTACCTGACACCCGAAGCCTGCCCTCCATTCACCAGTCAGCAATGTGATAGAATTCTCTGAACCTAACTACAAAGTTGCAGCTTCTTCGATGCCAAAGATGCTTTGTATAACCCAGGGCAAAGCAATCTGTTGATCAACCCCTCCATACCGAAGCAAATTTTCACTTTCTGCACTACTAATGCCACAGTGCCAGCGGTGTATACTATATACCAGATCCCCTACAGCAACTCCAGATTCTTCAACAGCACCTTCCAAACCTACAACGTGTACCTTCTAGAAAGAAAGCGAATATATGGGAACATCACCTGCAAGTTCCCCTCCGAGCTATGTAGCATCCTGACTTGGAATAATATTAACATTAATTTATGTTGCTGGGTCAAAATCCTGGAAGTCCATTCCCAACAGCATTATAAAGGTACTGCAGCAATTGAATGACCAATAACTCCTTGCCTTGCTAGAGACACCCTCCGCCAATTAAATTACTTTTTAAAAGTAAACAATGGTATATTGTGGTACGTTATTTTAATCAAAGAAAGATGTGGTCCAAGAGAATAAGTTTTTTTTGTTTTTTTTTCCTAAATGCAGTCAGCTTTTAATGTTTAATGGCAAAGTGGATGTTTGCAATATAAATTATGCTATTAAGTACAAGTAAGAAAGATTTACAGTGAGTTTCAGGATGGAAAGTGCTGCTTTTGGGACAAAGTTTTGAATGTATTCTTTGTTCAGATGATCTTGGTAAAGTGTAGATCACTTCTAGCAAGTGTAAATGAACGATGTCACAAGCTCAACTAATTATCTTGAATTGGTTCTTGTAGGTCTTAGTACGCACAATTATTCAAGTGCTGCCAATCATGGAATTGTATCAAATAGTGCATGTTTTGTTTTAGGCTTTGCAAATGTAGGTTGGTTGCATGCAGTTTCACCAAGTAATTTGAGGCAGTATTATTCACTCAGTCCATTAGTTGGATGTACAGCCTACATAACCTGGCATTGCACCAGCACTGAAATTACTTGGGGGTTTGGGGAACCTGTAGTTCCCCATTGCTTTTGTCTATGGTAATACTTCAGCCATTCGGAGTTGACTTGCCAAACAATTAGCACCCTTTTTCTTCCAGTAGCATACATTGTTAAATTTTAACCAAACACAACATTCTTGTGTAGTCCATATGTGTGCAAGATGGAGAACTTTAGCAACAGGTTTTTCTTTTCATGTTATTCAAGTTCTGTACTACTAAGCAAGTAAGGTTCAAAATGTAATTGTTTATTATGAATGCCGAGAAGTAAAATAAGAAATAGCAGTCATGCAGTGAAACATAAATTTATTAGGTAGCATATGACATTGAGTAGTGTTACAAGTTTTGTTACTGACACCACCTTAAAATATACTTTGCATTTGGAAATTGTTCCAGTAAAGGTTATTATTCTACAGTAATACAAGCGTTTTCTTTTGAACCTTTAACAGAATATTTTTGTCTCTTGCAGCCGGAGTTCTACCAGGTATGCCACACCAAAAAGGATTATGAGGAGATTGGCCCCAGCATTTGTCGCCATAACCCTGTCTTTGGAGTCATGTCTTAAGGCTGATCTTGATATTGTAAGGGCTGAAGGGAGCCTTGCTTTTGGGGGCTGTTATGTCTGAATGACTGGTGCATTATAAAAAATGGCTTGACTTTTAAAAATGGATGACCAAACAGTGTGTGGCTGGCTAATTTAACAATTGAGTGTCTTAAAAGGGGCTATGTTGAAAAGCCAAAATATAAACTTTTTTCTTTTATTAAACACTTTGGATTAGTTTGTAAGAACATTATAGAATGGTTTTAGATCAGATTATGCCCTAAGATAATGCATTTGTTGGTGGGAAACCCAAGACTGATGGAATTTGAGAGAACAGAATGTCAGCTCTACCATACTTGAATTGTACACTTAAATGTGTACAATGCAAGATCTTGTTATATTTCATACTGATTTTTTTATACATCAGGTGGGGAAAATGAGAGAATTAGGTTATCTATTAAGTAAAATAATAAGTGACAAGAAAACTAACATTTAGTGAAAGAGTGTGAATGTACTGGTCAAATAGGAGCTGTACACATCAGTTTAGAAAAAGAATCAACACAAAATGGAATGATTGCTGAGAACTTGAACCAGAGATACATTTACCCTTTAGTTAGTGTTGGAGGCTTCTTTTTACTTTTTGGATGGTATGTTTTACTGTTAGAACATCTTGCTGCTATGTCTGTATATAATTAAATTACAAACATTTCATCAAGCTCTGCTTCAACAGGTTGAAACTTTCTTAGCAGAGGAAGTGACTTTCGGCACTAACTGCTGGAAGGGTTAAATTGTGAATTTTCATTTTTTAAACATTTGGATTTCTTATTTGTGTACAGCAGTGACTAGTGTATCTATGCTCTTTCTTAAAAAAAAAACTCCAAAAGTCTAAACAAAATTGTATCAGCATCTAAGAGGCTGTGAAACAGTTTGTAAAAGTCATATGACTTTGTTTATTTGTGACTTCAGTCTATCCCCAAAAGAATAACAAACTGTTTTCTAATATCAAATATGGCTAACTCCGCAAGTGCTTTGGGAACTAAGGAACTATTACTTATTTGAACTAACAGATGCCTGCTAGTGCTTTCTAAATGCTGAATGCATTTCTTCTGTTTCTTCCTGCAAAAAAGGACTGGACCAGTATTGTAGTTCTAGTACATTTTGATTTAAACCAAATAATCTAATGATCAAAGTGGTGTATTTAATGCCTTGCACCATTCCAATAAAGGCACAAAATTCTTTTTAAGCTTTTTGGCTGTGACTGATTATTTTAGAAAAAGAAACTTCTTTACACTTGCACTTTTTCAACTAAGCATAAAAAGAGAGCTGCACTTATTCTTAAATTGAATCAACCACTCATGAAAGTGAAACTTCATTTGAGTTCCACAAGTTGCATTTGCACAGGTGTCCAGATAAATTTTATAATATTATCTTGTTTCAGCTTATTAGTCTTGTCACTTGTCTTCCCTCAGTTTTCCTTGACTGAATGTCAGCAGACCAGCACCAAACTAGACAGAATTGGGCTACAAATGTAGAACATGCTTAGTTAAAAAGTAAGACCATCAGCAAAATTAAATACCAGTAATTAAATGCAACTAACAAGCAGAAAATTTACTTTTACAGCTGCCTTACTAAATTATATACTGTTGTGATGGTCTTTACGATAGTTTGAATTAATGGAAAAACATCTCCAGGTACAGACTCTCCAATTTGAACTCGCCAAGTTGAGAAATATTTGCAAGAAAATAACTGAGAAATTAAATACAAATAACAATGTTTGAACAACTTTTTAAAAGATATTTATAAAAAGCCCACTGTTTTAATTGAATAACTTGGCTTCTCCCAACATAACACAAATGATTTTAATAACAAAACTTTAACAAATTTTTATGTAGTTCAGACAAACTTCATTTTATTAAATTTTTCTCTGGATTTTTTCAGACTTCATGCATGTTTTCTTCCAAGTTGAGGAGCCATATCTTGGGGTCATAGTCACTTTTCATCACTGGGTCAAAATCTTGAAATTCTTTGGGAATACTGTAACCCCAAGGACTGCAGTACTTCAAGAAAGCCCAATGCTATCTCAGGAAGTGCATGTACTATTGACATTATCCCCATTCCCAAAATAACTTGGTTCCAAAAGCAAAACTGTAGAAACAATCAGAAAAGGCCCTGTTTTCTGTTCAGTTTCATTCCCACATACCAACCTGCCCTTTTATTTTCTCTTTTGTCTTTCTTTGCCCAGCAGAAACTGCAAATAACATCAGTAGCCAAAGATATTCTGTCAAGTCCTAATGAAACAAACTATTGTTGGCTATTTCCTGAAATAATTAGCCTGGATTTTCATGTGCATCAATCATAATTTTCAAAAAGGTGGCTCAAAGTACTGCAAAGAGCCAACCAATACTACCATATGGTGGTAATGTTTAATTGATTGGGAAAAAAAAATCATCATCCTATCTTAAAAACTGAAAGAACTGCGGACGCTGTAAATCAGGAACAAAAACAAAGTGGCAGGAAAATCCCAGCAGGTCTGGCAGCATCTGTGAATGAGAAAACAGAGTTAACGTTTCGGTTCTAGTGACCCTTCCTCCGAACTGATGATGGCATCATCCCATCTATCTGTCTTTTGTTGATTTAATTTCTTACAGGGTGATATTTCACCACAGTTGTGTTTATCGTGAGTCAAAAGCATAATGTGATAATGCTTAGAGTGCAAACTTGCAGCCCACTTAAGTACAATGATCAGCATGTACAAGAATCTTACATACACTTTTTTTCTGTTGCTGAGCAAGCCACTTATTGTGGTTATATCTTGAACACTGGAAAACAATTGGCTGTTGATCTCTGTATAGCATGTTTGGCCTACAATAATAATTGACATATTTTGGGAATAAATGCACCTGTTTCTTGCCTGTGGTCTGACATAATTTATATAGTCCTCCTTAACAGCCAATCTTGCATTGTTAAAATGGATTAGTATTTTAGAGGGAAGCTATCCCGAACTCTAAGTTAAAAGGTGAAATTAGCACGCAGTTGCAATTCCCAGCAACCTCAGGATAGATTCTACCTGAAATGTGACTTGGAAATTCCTCCTCCCAAGATTTGATTTTTCAGAAAGCCCAAGCTGGCTTACAAATGTCCTGTAAGGAAGGAAATCTGTCACTCTTGCGTATTGTGGTCTACATGTGACTTGTGACTTCAGACTTCTGGCGATGTGATTGACTCTTAATTGCCCTCTGAAATGACAGGTTGCTCAATTCAGGGCAATTAGGGATGGGCAAACAATGCTACTATGAACAGTGACACCCACATCCAATGAAGGAAAGCAAAACAAAATATTATCTTGGCCCCAACATCCTTGTTGGTTCACATAAACTCTGTTGATAGTTGTTTTATCTTCACCCCCAACTCTGGTCTTGCCTTGGAAAATTAGATAACTTAATTGTATTAATGTATTGATATCTACCGTCTACCTTCCAGATTTTGGTTGTTTCTGTCTGGTTGTACTTGCCCTACTAATAATGAACAGAAATTCACCAAGGTTCCTTAAGCAGTACCGCAGAAACTTGTAGACTGTTACCATCTGGAAGGACACAAGCAATGGAAACATAAAAACATTGTCCCTGTGTCTGCGTGGGTTTCCTCCGGGTGCCCCAGTTTCCTCCCACAGTCCAAAGATATACAAGCTAGGTGAGTTGGCCATGCTAAATTTGCCTGTAGTGTTCAGGGATGTGTAGGTTAGGTAAGTTATAGGGGAATGTGTCTTGGTCGGATGCTCGAGGGTCAGTGTGGACTTGTTGGGCCGAAGGGCCTGTTTCCACACTAGGCATTCTATGATCTGTGATCTAACATCAGCAAGATCTCCAAGTACCCCTCCATTCTGATATGGAAATATATTGCAATTCCTTAACTGTTGCTGGGTCAAAATCTTGGAACTTCCTTCTTAACACCCTTAGGGTGTACCTACATTGCACAGACTGTAGCAGTTCAAGAAGACAACTCACCACAAACTCCTCAAAAGTGATTACATCTAGAATCCCTACAGTGTGGGAGCAGGCCCTTTGGCCCAACAAGTCCACACCGACCCTCAGAGCATCCCACCCAGACCCATCCCCCTATAACCCACCTACTCTACACCTCCCTGAACACTATAGGCAATTTAGCGTGGCCAATCCACCTAGCCTGCACATCTTTGGACTGTGGGAGGAAGCCTGCTCAGACATGGAGAAAATGTGCAAACTCCACACAGCCAGTCGCGTAAGAGTGGAATCAAACCGGGTCCCTGGCGCTGTGAGGCAGCAGTGCTAACCACTGAGCCACCATGTTGCTGTGATAATGGATGGATGATAAATTCTGACCTTATCATCAAAACCCACAAGCCTTCAATTAATTTTTAAAAGTTCAGTTTCCAGCAAACTGTAACTTCACTCTTACAGCAATAAAGTTGATTTTTATTTCAATAGCATCCTTTAATGTAGTAAAACTTTGCAAGGTACTTCACAGAAATGTTATAAAACAAAATGTGATATGAATTCTCAAGGATATATTAGGTCAGAAGAACAAAAGTATAGTTGAAGTAGTAAGCATTAAGCACCTGAAAGGAGAAAATCATAGGTAGAGAGAGTATTCCAAAGCTTAAAGCCTAGGCAATTGAACGTGAACATCATTGAAGCAATTGAAAGTGAACATCATTGAAGCAATTGAAATCATGGATGTTCAAGAGGCCAGATATCAAGGGCCATGTATCTTGGAGAAGTGTGGGCTTCAAATAAATGATGGTAGGGAGGGGTGAGGCAATGGAGCAATTGGAGAACAAGGATGAGAACTATAAAACCATGTACGAGAGCAAAACTGATAAGTATGGGTGTGATAGAGGACTGGGGCTTTCAAGTTCAAAACAGGCAGTAGAGTTTAGGGCAAGCTCAGTTTTACAGAGACCAGTATATGGGACTAATAAAATCTAGAAATCACAAAGATATGAGTGAAGGCTTCAGTAGATGAGCTAAGGTAGGTGTGAAGTTGTGTGATACTACAAATATTGCAAAGCTAAGAATATAGTCAATCTGTGATTTTTGTGAATATATGCCATAAGTTTACTTTAGGGTCAAATATGAGACCAAAGTTGTGAAGAGATTACCTTTGTCTCAGACTGTTGTCAAGGGCAGGGATGGATTTGGTGAGGAGAGAGTTGAATTTAGAGTGGGACTAACAATGGTTTTAGTCTTCCAATATGTAAATGGGAGAAATTTGTTTATTCACTACTAATAAGAACTAGGAGCAGGAGTAGGCCATCTGACCCCTCGAGCCTGCCCCCCCATTTAATAAGATCATGGCTGATCTTTTTGAGACTTAGCTCCACTTACCTGCCCGCTCACCATAACCCTTAATTCCTTTACTGTTCAAAAATTTATGTAGCCTTGCTTTAAAAACATTCAGCGAGGCAGCTAAGCTAGCATTTATTGCCCATCCCCAATGGGCAGTTATAAGTCAACTGCATTGCTGTGGGTCTGGAATCCCATGTAGGCCAGACGGGGTAAGGATGGAAGTTTCCTTCCCTAAAGGGCATTAGTGAACCAGATGGGTTTTTCCCCCAACAATTGGCAATGGATTCATGGTTATCATTAGACCCTTAAATCCAGATATTTATTGAGTTCAAATTCTACCACCTGCCATGGCAGAATTCAAACCCAGGTTCCCAGATCATTACCTGGGTCTCTGGATTAACAGTCCAGAGATAATACCACTAGGCCATTGCTTCCCCCTCATGCCGTCATCATTCAGAGAACTGAGTACAGAAGTTGGGATATCGTGTTCCAGCTGTATCCCTTTCCCCGTTCACCTTAATTTCCTTCCTCGATTCCCTGACCCAACCTGACAAGGCTCCATCACCTGACTCCTAATGATCATCCTGACCATACCTGCACCACTTGATTCCTTTCTGATCTGGCCTAATGCACCTTAGACCTGAAAATCTCTCCTTCCCTGATCTCACTGCACAATCCACTATCTATCATCAGATTGTTAGATGTTTGGACAGGTTAAAGCATTCCTGCTAGATGAAAGCGGAGAGTGGCTTCAGGGGGATAGTGTGGTCAATGATATCAAGGCTACAGACAGAACAAGAGGATGAAGTGTGAAAGTTTACCTTTCTCATAGTCTATTAGAATTTCATTTGTGATTTTGATGAGAGCTAAGACTAGATTGACAAATGAGACATTGAGAATCATTGTAGTTTTGTGCTTC